GGAGAGCAGGCCCTAGTGGGATGTTTGTTCTCTTGGACAGTATCACAGCTACTTGTATGTATAACTTGGTCATACAATTGCATGGCAGACACAAGTAAGGTTTTTGAGCAAAAAATTTTATTCATGTCTTCTGCAGTCCCTTTCAGCCTTACTGTAGTCTGAGTCAGAATTAAAGAAGCTGACCATCTGAAATGAGAAATGTCTTCTTGGCTTTGTGGGCAAGCTGTGGAATTGCTCTCCTGCCAAATCTGTCAGCAAAGCAGCGTTCCCCTCTGATTAAACAATTGAGCGTAGGTTGAAGATGAACTAGGCCAAAGAACATCTGAAGGGGTGACTGTCAGAGTGATGGAATCCTCTCATATTTGATGTTCCAGGCCACAGTCCGGAAAGCCTTAGCTCTGACCTTGTTTAGAGAAGAGATACCTAAGGGAATATCTTGAGAGGAGAATGCTGCTCTGCTAGTGCCAGGTCTGCATGCTTTTCAGCTTCTGGTCAGTGGGAAGAGTTTTGATCTCACCCTTTGCTCTCCTCAGCTGCAAACAGCATGCTGAACACAAGGGACTTCCGTTCTGTGGATCATCGCCTGAAGCTGTACCTGGATATGGAGGTTTTTGAGGAGAATGATGAAGAGTTCCAGTGCTTCCTCAAGGTGAGCTCTGGTAGCTCCTCTCCTACAGCCTCTGGGCAGCCCTGCTGCTAGGCTATGCTAGGTGCGCTGCAAGTTCTGCTCAGAGGTGGTTTGGAGACTGAGGGGTGCAAAGGAATCTGAAGCATGTCTGGGTCAGCTCTTTCCATGGGTGGACTGGCAAGAGGCAGGCAAGTACTATCACTTGTCCTCTCTGTGCTCTAGGTGACCATCGTGAAGTTTGGTCGACAAGGAGAGTTCCTCTCAATTCTGGTTGCCTCTAACCTCAGGATCTATGTGCTGGAAGTTACGGGGGTTATCAGGTGAGGAGAACGGTGGCGAGTGAGTCCTTGCAGCAAAGCTGTGAGTGCTGGGTAGTGCCTCCTCTGCCAGCCTTACCTGAGAGGTGTGGTGACATGCAGAGGCTCTTCTGGTAAAGCCCCCTGCTGCAATCTGTTGTGGGAAAGGAGGTGGGGGCACCCTGCTGCTGCTGAGGGCTGTGCTCTGTGATTAGGGGACAACCTGCAGACTGGCTGAAGAAGGATGACTCTCACTACCTGTCTGATATTTCCCATCTGGAAGTGGGACTTTGCCACCAGAGCTTGCGAATGGAGTTTGAGAACCCAAAAGCCTCCTACAATCTGCTGATCCGGAGCCAAAGTTGCTGTGACCAGTTCCTGCAGACCCTGACATGTAAGAGTGGATTTGTAGCAGGGGGGTGGGAGAGGATTTTCTCCAGGAGAGCTATAAGGAGATCTGAAGTTGGATGTATGTTGGAAATTCACATCTTGGTAGCTCAGAAAAAAGTCTGGGGGAGAACCCCACTGGTATCATGAATTCCAGTGTCTCTCTATGGACTGGAGAACTCTCCTGAGCTGTTACATACTGCCCCTGGGCTTGCAATGAAAGATGTCTACCTTCTACCCATTTCTAGATCTTATGCAAGAGCTGCCTGCAAAGAAAAGGAGTAAGGTGAAGGAAATCCCCACTGTGGAAATGAATTCTCAACATTGGCTGTGGTAAGAGCAGTCTCTGAGAGACTGGGGGTTTGGGTAGAAAAGGACATCTGCTTGTCCAGCAGTGCCTGGGAAGCTCAAAGCAGGGCAGCAGGGGCACAGCAGGAGTGGCTGCCAGATATGTGTAATAGGCTTATGGCAACTGGCTCAGGTCTCTGCTGCACAGGGGTGAGCAGGCAAAGGGGTTTCACTGGAGTTGCTGAGCAAGGCAGTGCCTCTTTGAGAGTTCTACCGTTGTATATCCTCCAGGCCTCTGCTGGACTCCAGGAACACAGATTCTGCAGCTGCAGGTGACACTTGTTTCTTCTACCTGCTGGCCTACCTGATTCAAGGTACAGAAAATCTCAGTGGCTAGATCTACCATGCCTCATGTTTTCTTCTTAGGTGCTTGTCTTTTTGGTTTTCAGCATGTGGAAATGCAGCTGGGCCGTGGCTTCACCAGCAAGATGTGGCAGGGGCATGGCTGACAGCCTTTTAGTGCTGAGATATAGGACAGTAGTATGCTTCTTCCTATACATCCACTGAATCTCCTAGCCCTTTTCTACTCAAAGTCCAGACTCTAGGGAGCATTTTGTCCTGCGCACCAGATTTGGTGAAAACTTAGAATGGCTTCTTAGAAGCTGGTGGTGATCCAAGGGTTGTATTACTGCCATGAGCTCAGGGGTCACACACAGCTGGTAAGGTGTCAGGAGCTTGAAAGGCTCTTCAATTTGTGAGGAAAAAGCAGATGTCTAATCTCTTTCACAACAGAATAAGAGGAGCCTGCTGGAGTCCAACAGTTCTATGCCAGATCTTGCTGATGTCCACATGAGCTATACTTGGCATTTGAGTATTCCTTGAACAATTCCAGTGTCCTTTTATCTTGGGACCCTGTTTTTGTCACTGCTCTTGCAGCCTCTTTTGCCGTTGGCCACCAGGAAGGTATAAGAGAATTAGGAGTCAGTGGAAAGTATGCTTCTTAGTCTCTATCTAAGCTGAATAAATAGCCTGTGGGAAGAAGAATTTAAAACTATGCTTTTGTTACTCAGCAGGTTTTTTTTTCCTTTTTTAGAGTACAGTGCTCCAAACTGGAGACAGTTCAAGCTGAGGCGTTGTGCCAAGTAGACAGGACTAATTGAACATCCCATCTCTGATATTCCTACTAATTCCCAAGAGTGAAATGTGACAAGAAAAGCAACATGTTGCCATAGCAGTTTGTGATTCCCTGTTACCTCGGACAGTTCTGTGCATCTGACTTACTCCCAAATTCTAGTGATTTTCATTTGCATCCACTAGAAGCAAATGCGTGATACTTATACTCCCTCCAAAACTGTCCTGCTTTCTGCTATATTTATGACATGTCCCATCTTGGTATTTAATTTTATTTACGCCGTGTTCCACCCATCAGATCTACTGGCAGGCAAATTGAGTCCAAAAAAGGTGGCCTTTTAGCTAGAGCTGCTGACTTTTAAATAAGGAATAGCAGGTTATCGAAGAGGTCAAAGTACTGAAGTTCCTTTTCCTGCCTCACATGAGGATATTGGCTGGACAAGGCTAGCTGGGTGGCAGTCTTTTGTGTATGTGCTCTAACAATGAGCTTGGTTGAGCCCAGGTATATTTATATACCCTTCTTTAGTCTGGAAGCTGGATACTGCTGTTCACCCAGTTACTGTTGCTGGAAAGGATTTCCCTAGGGAAAGAGTGGAAAGCAAAGCTGGTTCTGCGGTGACTCAGGCTCTCAGCAAAGCCTCTCATTCCCTCATATCCTTTTAGGGGCATCTGCTTCCCCTGTGACCCTGCTGAGCACACGAAGCATGCTGTTTCTGCTGGAAGAAAATCACCAGTGGCAGGTGCAACCCCCCTTGGATGCAGATCATGAGGCAGAAATGCCTTCTAGGAGCAACATCCAGTTGAAGGAGAAGCAGCCAATCAGCAGTATTAGCAATGTCATAACCTATCGTCTCTGTCCTTGTGACATCAAGCTGATGCTTTATGATGAGGTAACCAAGGGAAGGTCATGGGGCACACAAGATGCTAGGGGCTGGATTGTGCTCAAATCCTGTTCCTGCCAAGAGCGTTTTTGTCATCTCCCATCCTAACCCAGGGCTCTGCACCACAGAGCAGAGGGGGTGCAGCAATATGCTGCTATACAAAAGTCATGCAGGGACACTTTCATGGCTGGTAGCAGAGCAAGAGAAGGATATCACTTAGAAACTGGGAGGAGCTGGCAGCTGTGCTGCAGAGTAAGCAGCTCAGGGCTGATAAGCGCCTTTGAGGTGGGGCCCTGCTCACCCACCTCTCTCTCTTTCCTCCCTTACAGGTGCTGAAGGTGGAGAGCGCTTGGCACATCCGCACAGAGTGCCCTGAGCTCCTGGTAGAGCTGGTGGAGTGGATCCGCAGGCCCTGGGAAGAGATGTTCTCTATTGAGCTACGGAGAGCTGTGTACGAGGGACTGGAGTGAGCTTGCCAGCTGTAGGCAGGAAAGACCTGAAGTCACGAGTGCTGCTGTGCTGGCAGCAGTGCACAGATATGTCCCCTCCCATCTGATCTTGCTGTCCCATGGCCTTTGCTTTCTACTCTAGTCTTGCCCCTGACCCTTTCCGGTGAGGAGGAGGGGAGCACACAGTGGTCTAGACTTTGCACAGTCACTCACCTGCACTGGGCTGACCGCGAAAGGAGGTGGTTGGAGATGTCCCTTGTGATACTGTGTAAGCTACAGAGTTTTAACTTGGTGGTATTTGCTAGTCTCCTTCAGGATAATACGAAGTATTATTGAAGAGAGAAGCTGAACCAGAGAGTGTTCAATGGTCTGTGGTGTGACTCAGGCAAATCAGCAGGCTAGAGGCAGTTGGATGCTGTGGTTTTCCTAGCAGATGTATTTGCTGCCTTCCTAGCTGTCTCAGAACAGCTGCCAGTGTCTGCTGATGATTCTTTTCTTTTTCTTTCTCCCTCTTCTTTTATCCACAGCTTCCCAAAAGCTCCTACTTCAAACAGGAGCCTGACTGCACAAAGGGATAAGGCATATGTTGTACTCCTAACCCCACAGAGAGCCCTTACCTGCCTGCCTGGCAGGCCATGGCTCAGTCTGCTGCTGTAGTCCTTCACTGTCACTGGGGAGGGAAGGGAGCTGGGAGGCTCTGACCACAGAAGTGTGTTGCTCATTGCTTAGGAGGTCAGGACCCTCATGGACACTGGCAGGTAAAAGTGAGGCTTAGGCTTTTCTGAGCGGTCCAAAAGCAAGAATCTATTTTAACATGAGTTTTACTATTTTCTATTGCAATAAAAAGGTTATATTTATTGAATTGCCAGTTTCCTTGCCTCATCCTCTTGCATTGCTATGATGTCCTAGTAAGGTCTTGCGTACTAGCTTCATCAGTTTCCAGGAGCCAGTTCTGGGGCTGGCAAGGGAACAAGGCCACAACCAACCCAGCTATACCATCCTCAGAGCCTTAGGAGAGTAGGAAGTTCAACTTCGTAGTAGTGTAAAGGCCACCCCACAGCACGCCGCTGGGTGCTTTCTTGGAATGTTTATTTTTAGACTTTCTCTTGTCACTTTGAGTAGCAGTTTCAGTTGCTGAAGGCCCACAGTGGCCAATATTTTTATCTAGCCTTCTATAGACTGGATTGACAAGATCTATAGCGTCTTGAGGCAGATGTCACAATGCATTCCACTTTGTCCCCTCTTCCTAAATGGGCATATGGCTGCTGCTCTCCGTTCCTTTGCAGTGATCTCAGACTGCGAATGGCAATGAGCTCAGTGGAAGCACTGCCAGCACACAGCACTTTGTCTGGGGGAAGGAGTCTCAGAGAGCAGCACCAAGTAACGACCAGTAAGGTTTTTCTGTCTTCGTCTTGCCATTTAAGGTGCCTGTGCTAAGTATTATCTTCCCCTTCCATAACTGTGTTTTACATAAAGTACAAGAGTCAAAACTGGAGTTACCAGACCAGTCTTAGTCTCCTCTGTACACACCGATCCCTTGACACAGCTCCATCCCAGCTGGTGTTTTCCACCCTAATCAAGCTGCACCCCTGCTCTGCTGCACCTGGGTATGCGGTGAGGTACCTGACAAAGTCTGGATTGCCAGAACTAAAGGTTTCAGCTGTTTGCCTGCCCATGCCTGTTCTCAGGCTATTTTACTTACTTGCTCCTGCTCCTAGCCCTTTCTCTCTGCAGGTCCATCTCCTTGGCTCAGCACCAGCACATTGCTTTTCACCCACTCCCTGGCTACTGGCAAAGAAAGCTCACAGGTACTGCTGTAACCCCTCTGCTGCCTCTTCATCAGGCACTCGCTTTGTTTTCCCTTAATCTGATAACAACCAGGGCATACCCCCACTCCCTCTGTAGTTGCTCTCTGACCTTGAACGTTCCTGTGGAGCTGGAACTAGTGATGGGGTAACTGGTCTCATTGTGCCAATGCAGTGTGTGCAGACGCACACCTCAGTCATCAGTGGCTCTTTCACCACTTTCCTCTGTTTCTCCTTTCCAGCACCTGGGCTGTGAGAAGACAGAGCCTAGGGGCTGGTTGTCAGCTCTCTTAACTGGGAGAGCCCTATTTCTAGTGGATGTTTACCTCCAGCAGAACTTTCCTGCAGCAGCCACTTGCTGCCCTTTGCAGTCCTCTGCTGGAGCGCGCCTCTGGCTGTTACCAGGTCATTAAAGTGGCCGTGGAGCTGTCCTGTATCAGGACAAACAGTCCCTAATGGAGCCGTCTGCTCCCTGTCCCAGTGCCAGAAGCGCTGATTAGTAGGGGAAGAGTGGGAACAGGCTACACGTGGCACAGCTCTGAGCCAGGTGAGGCGATGGCTCAGGCTGTGCCCAGGCTAGGCAATCAGGCTCGTCTCCCAGCTGAGCAAACAGCTCGGTGGCTGCCCTGGGAGCAGCCGTTGTCCCACCAGAGCCTACCAGGTCAGGAAGGAGCCCACCACCGCCCCTGGATGCCCTGAGGCCTGCTGGGGGCAGAAGGTGGGCTTCCCCGTGGCCTGGCAGCTCTGCTTATCCACACTCTCACCCCGTTCCCCCTTTCTTCTGTCTCCCTCAACTGCGTGTTGTGTGCCTGTTCCAGTGCCAGGCTTTGTCCCGTGGCCTGCTCCCGGTCCTGCGGTGGTGACGGCACTCCCGCTTCCCCTCGGCCGGTCCTTACGCAGCAGCAGCTTCCCAGGGTTGCACAAGGCGGCTCTCCCGTCAGAGCCGGGGGCGGGAGGACGCGGTGCTCTGCCCGGGCTGCTACGGGGATCCTCAGGGAGGACGGACCCTCAGTCCCCGGGGATCCCCTGACCGGCCAGTCCTCCGGAGCCAATTTTAACAGCGCGGAAAGCCAGCGGCCGGCTCGGCGCCCCAAAGCCACAGCCACGCCGGCGGGGCCGGAGCGCACGGACACCGCGCCCGCTTCCCCAACCCGGGGCACCGCGCCCCGCCCGCCACGCCGGCCGTTGCTCGCACCGAGCAGAGAGGCCCCGCTCGGTGAGTCACCGGGGGCGGGCGAGAGCAACGTGAACTCGGCGGGAAGCGGCGCGGCTCGCGGCGGGCCCGTAGGTGCGTACCGGCGGGCGGCGCGGGGCGGGGCGGCCCCGGGCCCCTTTGTTCGGCGGGAGGCGGCGGCGTAACGCCCCGCCGCTTTGTCCGCCGCGCCGCCGGCGGGAGCCGCTCGTCCCGGCGTGGGGTGAGTGGGGCGGGGGGAGCGCTGGGGCTGAGAGCCGCCGGGTGCGGTGGGGTGCGGGGCCTTGGGGTTGGGGTTGGGGGCGGGGAGGGCTCGGGGCGCGGTTGGGTCAGGCTGGGGCGCGCGGTGCCGCTCGGCGCGTGGCGGCTCGGCCACCTGCCCCGAGCGGGAGCCTGGGTCACCTGCGTGCCCCGCGTCCCTCCCCGGGCAGCCTGGGTATCCCGGCCCGCCCCCGGCCCCGGGGCGCTGCGCCGCCGAGCGAGGAGCCGCTGCTGATACAAAGCGTCGTCCCTGTGGCGGGGCCCGGCGGCGGAGCAGGTGGCAGCGGCACCCCGCAGGGTGCTCGGCCGGGGGAGCGGGTTGGCCGAGGAGCGGGTTCGGACGCCCGTTGCTCGGGGCTGGCGGAGTCCCGGTGCCGGCGCGTGCCCATCGCTGGTGCGAGGCTCGGAGCAGAACAATAGCGGCAGGAGAGATCTCTCGGGGCGGCCTCCGAAGCCGCCACCTGCCGCCCTCGCGTCGGCCCCATGCGCCGTCTCCCCGCGGATCTGGCCAGAAGCTGCTGTGCTTTCCCCGCAATTTCCTCCCCGACATCTGGCGTCAGCTGTAACTTTGTGCAATTCCCTGCCTGCCTCGTGCTGCCCCTTGCCGTCACCCTGGTCCCTCGTGCTCCACGTCCCTCGCCGTGCCCGAGCCACGGGGTGCGGCGTGGCCCTGGGACCAGGTGGCAGACGAGTGCCTGGCTCCACCGGGCTGTCCCCTCGCCCGCCGGAGCTGGCACTGCCCTGCTCCTGTGTTTACCCTTGCTGTGGTGACTCTTCCCCCAGATACATCCTGTCCGGGACGGGTGAGTGTCCCGGCTTTTCCCCTACTCCCCGCATCCTGGCTGGTGGCAGTAGGGGAGGAGGTGCTGAGGGCTGCTGGTGCTCTCATCTTTATGCTATACAGAGCCTGGGAGTCACCGGTGGGTAAGGGATGGGATGGAGGCACTGCGTGGGGGCTTCTGCTGCCTTTGGGGGGCCGGGTGAGATGCACTGCTGCTCGCCCTGTGGCTCATCGCCTGCCTTCCCACAGAGCTGAGCCGACTGCCTGGCCAGGATGAGCTGGAGCTTCCTGACGCGGCTCCTGGAGGAGATCAACAACCACTCGACCTTCGTGGGCAAGATCTGGCTCAGCGTCCTCATCATCTTCAGGATTGTGCTGACGGCTGTGGGAGGTGAGTCCATCTACTACGATGAGCAGAGCAAGTTCGTCTGCAACACGCAGCAGCCAGGCTGCGAGAACGTCTGCTACAACGCCTTCGCCCCACTCTCCCATGTCCGCTTCTGGATATTCCACATCATCATGGTGGCCACCCCCTCGGTGCTCTACCTGGGATTTGCCATGCATCGCATTGCCCGCATGCCTGAGTCCTCACGGCGCCGGGTGCCGGCAACTCAGCGTGGCCGCATGCCAGTGGTGCGGCGTGGAGCCGGGCGGGACTACGAGGAGGCGGAGGATGATAATGAAGAGGATCCCATGATCTTCGAGGAGATTGAGGTGGAGAAGGAGAAGGGCACCGAGGGTGGCGAGAAGCATGATGGCCGGCGCCGCATCAAGCAGGACGGGCTGATGCGTGCCTATGTGCTACAGCTGCTGTGCCGCATGCTGCTGGAGTCGGCCTTCCTTTTCGGGCAGTACCTGCTGTTCCGCTTTAAGGTCAGCCCCTCCTACGTGTGCAGCCACAGCCCCTGCCCGCACATGGTCGACTGCTTCGTCTCACGCCCTACTGAGAAGACCATCTTCCTGCTCATCATGTATGCTGTCAGTGGGCTCTGCCTCTTCCTCAACATCTGCGAGCTATTGCACCTGGGTGTGGGGCGCATTCGCGATGCGCTGAGCCAGCCCAACAGCCCACCCTCCAGCAGCCCTGCACCGCACTACGCCAAGAAGCCCCCCAGTGCACCGCCCACCTACCACTCCCTGAAGAAGGAGCCGCTGAAACCCCCTCTGCCTGATGGCAAGCTGGACTACCGGGAGAACCTGGCCAACTCGGCCGCTGAGCGCTTTGCCCTGGCTGGCGCTCCCCGCGAGCGCGAGCTGGAACAGCTGCGTGAGCACCTGCGCTTGGCCCAGGAGCATCTGGAGATGGCCTTCCACCTGCAGCCGCCCCCCCGGGCTCCCAGCCCCTCACGCAGCAGTAGCCCTGAGGGCAATGGCATGGCTGCCGAGCAGAACCGCCTCAACCTGGCACACGAGAAGGGTGGTGGCTGCGAGCGCAGCACAGGTGAGCCTGGGGGACCAAGTTCTGGTGGGTGGGGCAGGGTGGTGGGGCACCCCAGGATGGCCGCTGATCTGCATCTTGTTCCCACAGGGCTGTGAGTGACGAGGACGGATGGTGCGGGACAGTGGTGTGACACAGCATGAGACGACGACATGTATCTGCCCGGTGGGGCTGTCCAGGGCATCTCCATCCCAGTGGGCAGCGATGGGGACAGGGGCTTGGGGAACCTTCCTTCACTGTTCTTAATTTTTTTTTTTTAAAAAAGGAATATCTTATTTTTGTACATTTTTATAAACTCAGCAGCGTGCACCCTGGCATTTTTATACACCCCTCCCGATTCCCACTCTGAGCCCGCACCTCCCCTCCCTGTCTCCTGTTGTATCCCCGCGTTCCTCCCCACAGCCTGTGCTCGCAGCACCTCCAATTCATGCCTCCCCTGCACTCTCTGTGCACGTGCAGGTCACGACAGCAGTAAGGATGCTCACACCAGGTCTGGCTGGTGAGGCTGCACCATGGGCTGGCACTGAGCCTGAAGTAGAGGTGACAGCAGGGACCTGTGAGAGACGTATCCCAGTGGCACCACTGCTGGGGGGTGCCCATACAGTGAGCACATGTGGGCTGCACAGGGCCCCTCTTGGCTCCTCTTTGGCTTCCCCCTCTCCAGGCTGCTCTTTTTAGGGAGCGCAGGGGTTTGTGTTTGTCCTTCTGATCTCCTCCGTTTCCCTGCCAGCAGCTCTGCTTGGGCTTTGGACCAAAGCCGATCCTCTTCAGCCTGGTGTGGGGCTGGGAGCCCTGTGTGCAGTGCCCAGAGTGGGTTGGTGGGAGACACTCGGGCATTCTGATCATCTCATGGGTCACGCAGTGAATTTTGTAGCATTGTTTTGTACTTGGGTAATTGTGACTTTTTTTTCCCTTTTTTTTTAATTTTTTTTTTTTTTTAATTATCTATATTCAGTAAAGCCTGGAGACGTTTTGTACTGAACTTCTGCATCCGGTTCTCTGGGAGGAAGGGGTGGGGAAGGGGATCCTGCGCAGATGGGCTGGGGCGGGCCAGCTGCTTGCGTGGGGCTGGCGGTGGTGGGATGGGGACGCCCTGCTTGGCCCGGGGTGACTCAGTCATTCCAACTGTGCGGAGGCAGCTTCAGCCAAAGGCAGCCTCTGCTGGCGTGGCGGGAGTAGGATTGCTCTGATTGCCACATTCCTGCGCAGCTGTGGATTCAGCAGGGCTTCCCTGTGCTCCCCATCCCAATGCAGCTGGAGGGACAGATGCTGCCCTCTGGCTCTCCCGTTGCTCAGGGATGGATCAGCCTTGGCGCTTCCACGAGTCCCCTCCCTGGGATGCTGGAGCAGAGCTGGGCCCCTTGCAGAGCACCATGCTGTGCTGCTGAATGCCCGCAGCTCGCCCTTCCCCTCCCTCCTCCAGCCCAAAGCCTCTGGGTTTGCACCCCGCTCCGTAACCACACTGCCTCTGAGGCTGTTCCTGATGGAAACTGGTGTTCTAAGATTGCTTTTGTAAAGAAAGAAGGTTTATTTATCTTGCCTTACTGATCTTGCAAACAGGTTCTGCTGTCGTTTGCGTGCCACCAGCCTCACCACCTGTGTGAGCCTGAGTGGACGTGCCCTGGCACATCCATCTGTCCCTGTCCTGTCCCTAGGAGCAAGGGGAGGTGGCTGTGCGCTGCAGCTTGTCTTTTTTGTGGGAGGAGATATGTAGGTGAGCTGGCTCCAGGCACTGGGCTGCCATTGCAGGGCACAGCTAGCATGCTGTGGGCTGGGCACAGCCCTGGGGCAGGGCTGCAGCACCCACACAGCCTGGAACCATGAAACCCTGGCTGTCAGAGGGAGGGTGGCACCACCAAAACTTCCACCTGGGTCCCTCTCCCTGCCCTGGGCTGCGCAGTGCCCATGTGAGTGACTCCTCCATCTGTGGGATGGGCTCATCATCTGGCACTGGGGCAGTCCAGAGGCAGCAGGGAGACCCATGGGTTCAGCCATGCTGTGCCAGCCGCTAGACACAGGTGCAGTCCTGCGCCAGGATGTTGGGCACTGTCTCGTACTTGAAGGAATAGCCACCATCAGAGGTGGTGCGGACACGCAGCGAGCGCATGGTGCCAGGCAGAGCGGCGCAGCACAGCTGCACACCCAGACGGTGGCTCAGCCCATGGCCTTCGGCACAGCTCCCGTGGCAGTAGTGGAAAACGAAGCTGCTGGGGTGCACAATCCAATTGTCCCAGCCCAGCTCCTCGAAGGAGATGTTGAGGGACGCCCGGCGGCAGTTGGTGTGGGCGGCCACATCCTCTGATGGGCGCTGCAGCAGGCTGAGTGCAGCCGGTGACCAGGGCACAGCGGAGCGGCGAGCCCGTCCAGCTGCCTTGGCACGGGTGGTGGCCACCAGGAAGGGCATCTTGTCCCCGTCGGCCAGGCAGGGGCAGCTGGGGCAGCGCACCAGGAGCACAAAGAGCGGCTGTGCCAGCTGGGGCAGCGCGTCAGGGCCAAAGTCAAACACCGTCCAGTGCTCTGGTGTCTGCGATGCTGTGGCCACCACTGGCACCCTGCCCTGCAGTGAGAGGGTCAGCACAGCGGGAGCCGAGTGGTTGGAAGCAGCTGAGGGGCCGCTGTAGAACCAGAGCTGGGCGGATGTCAGCGTGCGGCTCAGGACGTGCTCTGAGGGCTGGAAGAGGTAAGTGAAGATGCCTTCTTCCTCCAGCAGCTTATCTGGCTGTGTGGGCTCGCACGGCACATCTGTGGGGAAAGAGTAGCTCAGGGTGCCGTGCCCCAGCGTGGGGATAGGGTATGGGGGGGCACCTGCGGGTGCCGTGGAGGACATCTGTGGGCACAGGCAGGTTGTTCTGCTGCAGACACAGGGGAGCTGATGACATCCAGTGCCACATGGCACGTGCTGCTCTGTGTCCTGCAGCCGAACCCTGCAGCAGATGCAGCCCTGTGCAAGGCTCTGCCTGGCTCATGCTGCCAGCCAGGCACAGCTGCAGCACCTGGCACCCCATGGCCTTGGGAAGAGGGGATTCAGCCACCTGCTTCGTATGGCCAGGGTGGGCTGAGCTGCCTAGTGAGGTCACCAAGCCCCTCCATGCCCTGGGATGGTCTGGTGATGGTGTACCCATTCCACTGTGCCCTGCTCTGTCCTCCTGCACTCTGCTGCAACCCTGAGTATCCTGTTGCAACCTTAAGCATCCTACTGCGGCCCCATCCCTAGGCATCCCACTCCATCCTTCATCATCATACTCCTTCACTTAGCATCCCACTCCCAGCACCCTGCCCCATTCTCTACCATCCCACTCCAGTGTCCATCTCTGCCCGCTCCTAAGCCCTCCCCATCTCCCTGTGTCCCCCTGTTCCACCTCTGGGCACTCTTCTATGTCACCTCCCTGCCACCTGGCCATGCCACATCCCCATTGCCCTAAAGCAGCACCCAACTCACCCCCTGCATGCTCTCCATCCCACCAGGGCTCTCACCTGTGGAAGGGAAGAGAATCACCTGGGATGTGTCTTCCTGCTCTTCGGGTAGCACCTCCACCTCTTCAAGGACATCTCTACGATGCACCCTCCTCATGTCCTTTTGGGGCTCCTGCACGGCTGGGGGGCTCAGATGCTCCAGCACCCGTGCCCGCACCTTGGCCAGGACAAGCTGCCGGTCGGCACCAGCCCCGGTGCAGCTGCCCAGGGCACTGGCAGGCAGCACGGCAGGCAGCAGGTGCAGGAGGAGCAGCATGGCCGTGGGGCAGCTTGAGAGGCTCTGCCGTGGGCTCCTACTTGCCAGCCCAGCCTGTCTGCCCACTGCGCTGCCCCTGGGGCAGGGTGGCATTGAGACGTATCTGACACTGACGCAAATGTCTGCTCGCCGTGAATATTATCTCTGGGCAGTGAAAGCACTGAGACGTCTGGAATGTGAGGACTGCAAGGACAGTGTGGTCTGGGGGGGGACGGCGCCTGGGCAGGGGGGTGGGTGGGGTGCATGCTGCTGGAGTAGTGAGTGCATGGGGCAGGGGGCAGGCAGGGATGGAAGGGGCGTGGGGGCCTGCGGCTGAGTGCCTCTGTGCTGGAGTCTGGGGGCCAGCAGGAGGCTGAGGGTGCACTTTGGGCAGAGCAATAGTGTGGGAGGCACATGGCGGTGGCAGGCTGGGTGCCCTCATAGTGGGTAGGGATGGGACGCCCCAAGGATGCAAGGTTCAGAGCAGTGGCACTGCCACAGCAACTGGGCTGCTGGGAACATGAGGAAGGGTGGGAATAGGGAGCCTCTGCCTGGGGACAGGGCATGGCTGGGGACAGCATCAGACAGAGGTTGGGACTCTGTGGCAGTTATGGGAGAAGGGTGTCACGCTGTCGCTTGGGCTGGCTGGCTGCAGCATATCCCATCTCTATGCTGCGTGCCGTGCACAGCACGTTGCCATGGGCTGAACCCACACCCATCAGGAACAGGTCTGCTGCACCCCACTGCTGCTGTGCTGCCTGCCTGCTGGTGCTATACATAGGGCAGCCCTGCCCCGTCAAGGCACTGCATGGAGCAGGCTCAGTCTTATCACCCTGACGTGTCATCGGAGGGTATTTTTGGGGACAGCAGCTGCAGGCATTCCTACCGGTCAGTCCCTGCATGCTGACGCTGGAGAGCAGAGCTGGGCGAGCAGCAGAGTGGGGTGCTGGCACCAGGATCTGCAGGACAGAGGTATTGGTGTGAGGTGGGTGCCTGAGGCAGGAGATGGTGCTGGGCAGGGTGATCGGCGGAGGGGGAGGCCAAGGAGGGGGCTGAGCCGTGGAGCTGTGTGTGCTGGTGAGGCTTGGGGGAGAACCTGACCCTGGCCCCCGGGGATGAGTTCTGTCCCACATTCCCCTTCAGCCCAGCCAGGGAATGTCTAGGTTTCTCTTTGTCCCTGCTCTCCCTGAGGGGGGCAGAGAAGTCTCTGTGCAACCCTGGCCACAGCACAGGCAGGGGCTGAGGCATGCCCAAGAAAGGCTCTAAGCATAGCATGGGCATGGTGCATGGGTACCTGCAGCACTGGGCGTGGAGGTGGTACCCTCTGAAAGCAGGACTTGTTCTCCATTTGTCCCTCTGCACCCTGTGGTGATGTCCTGGCCTTGGACATGCAGGGGCTGGAGTTGGGACCACACTCGGGCAGGACCCTTCTTCCCATGCACCCTGCTGAGCTGGGCAGGAAGCACCCGGATGCGTCCAGATGCCTTCAGCCCCATGACAGCCCCTTATCAGCACCTGTGCACTGAGCCAGCCCAGATGCAGCAGGAATGCGGCTCTGCCACCACCCGATACTGCAGGAATGCCCCAGCGGGTGGGGAAGGGCCATGCTGGAACCCGTTCTTCCTCAGCCAACCCCATCCCCAGCACTGCAGGGACGCAGCGAGCCCCGTGCCCCATGGGAAGGTCCCACCTCTCAGCCCAGGCTTAATGCAGCATTGCTCTGGGTGGGATGCCTTGCACCACAGCCTTATCCCACTCTCTGTCCTTAGGCTGAAGCTCCTGACTCTCCTCCTGCCCCAATCCCAGGGTGATGGAGAGCCACGGGGCAGCTCCCCGGTTCCTGGCTTACCCACGTGCCTTCACGGCACAAAGCGGCTCCGACGCCATGCTGAGGTGCCAGATTGCAGGTGACCCCCGGCCCAGCGTGCTCTGGGAGAAGGACACAGCCCCGATCCAGCCTTCAGGCCGCTTCTGCATGGAGGCCAAGGGGGATGTGTACAGCCTACGGGTGTCCTGCGTCACCCCGCAGGATGGCGGCCTCTATGTTTGCAAGGCCAAGAACTGCATTGGTGAGACTTATGCTGCTGCCACGTTGCGAGTGGAGGCTGGTGAGCATCAGCAGGAGGAGGAGGAGGAAGGCCATGCTGGCAGCCGAGCTCCCACCTTCCTGGTGGGGCCCTCATCGGTGCGGGTGTGCCGTGGGGAGGACGTGACCTTCTCATGCCGAGTCTTGGGGCAACCCTGCCCGCTGCTGGAGTGGGAGAAGGACGGCTGCAAGCTGTGTGACCTCTTCGAGAGTAGCCACTTTGCAGTGGGCCGGCAGCCTGAGGACTGGCACTACCTCAAGCTGTTTGGAGTCCGACCCCCGGACGCGGGGGTCTACGTGTGCCGGGCACGCAGTGGCTCCAAGGAGGCCCTGGCTGCAGCTGTGCTCCTGGTGGAGCCCTGGTACTCCCCTTCTGACAGCACCCAACCATGGCAACAGCGACACGGGAGCACTGACACCTGGGCACCAGCACCCAATGGCACACCAAGAGCCAAGGCATTCGCTGTCAGCGCGGGGAAGCACGCCAAGTTCCGCTGCTATGTCACCGGCAAGCCCAAGCCGGAGATCATCTGGCAAAAGGATGGCAAAGTCGTGGCCCCCGGCCGCCGGCACCTGGTCTACGAGGACCGTGAGGGCTACTTCATCCTGAAGGTGCTGTACTGCCGACCCCGGGACCAGGGGCTGTATGTTTGCACTGCCTCCAACACGGCTGGGCAGACATTGAGTGCCGTGCAGCTGCAGGTGAAGGGTAGGTGTGTGCCCTGGGGCCGTGCTGGATACCCTGCACGGGGGCTGTACCCCCTGAGGCCCCATACCGAATGCCTCCCGCCCAGCTGCCGCATCCCAAAATAGCTGCTGGGAACAGGGGGCTGCCATCTCCCTTCCTCACGGCTGTGCTGCCGACATGGGAGGAATGCGGGGGTACCGCATGCATTGGTGTTCAGGGGGCTGGGAGGTTGTTGAGCAGGAGGATGCATTCTCAGCACCCATTTCTCCCGGCAACAGAGCACCGGCTGCGGTTCCAGGTGCCATTGGAGGACGTGGAGGTGGCAGAGCGGGAGGATGCAGTCCTGGAGTGCCAGGTGCCACTGGGGAGCATCCCCACCTCCTGGTTCCTGGAGGACCGGGAGCTGCAGCCCAGCCACAAGTACGTGATGGAGGAGTGCGGCGTGGTGCGGCGTCTGACCATCCGCGATGCCCGCACAGACGACGACGGCGTCTACCTCTGCCAGATGAAAGACCGGGGCCGCAGCGTTGCTGAGGTCTCCGTCCGAGGTGGGAGCGGGCCCAGCTCTGCCTTCCAATAACGCAGCCCCAGCATCCCCCTGCCCTCACATGTCTCCTCTCCTAGGGCTGATCGTGAAGAGGCTGCCACGGAAGCTGGATGTGATGGAAGGAGAGAATGCGGCTTTCTGTGTGGAGACGCGGGAGGCCATGGAGGGGATCTGCTGGAGCCGCAATGGGCTGCAGCTGCACGAGTCACCACGCGCTGTGCTGAAGAGCTTCGGCAGGACACACCTCCTGGTGCTGGTGCACGTCACCCGTGAGGATGCAGGCATCATCTGCTTCTCTGTCGGGGAGTCACTGACATCCTCCCAGCTCCGCGTCAAGTGTAAGCCTGGGCTGGGTTTCATGGGGCCTCCCCGCACCCTCCATTCTCCCCATTCACCAAGGTCTGAAATGGCAGAGGGATGGGATGGTACCTTCCAATCCCCACTGCGCCGTGTGTTCCAGGTGTGAAGCGTGACCCTCCCAGTGCACCTATGGCAGCCCAGATGAGCACGGAGCAGAGCAACGCAGCCCTCCTGACGTGGTGCCCTGCACCCGATGTGCACCATCGCCCTCCCAGCACCTACATTCTGGAGCGGCGTGAGGCGGCAGGCAGCAGCTGGGTGCAGTGCCTGAGCACTGAGCTGCCCGGCCGTGTGCAGGTGCTGGGTGACAGCGTGCCCCGCGAGGCTGACTACTGCTTCCGAGTCTGTGCCGTCAACAAGCACGGCCGCAGTGACCCTGTGGAATTCCCTGGCTGCGTGCATCTCGGTGAGGGGACACGGGATCTTCAAGCGGGTGGGAGCGTGGGAGCTGCGTGGTGTCAGGTGCTCACACACTGTGGGGCTGAGCTCGTGCTGTGCTGCAGTGCCAGCTGTGCGCCTGGAGAGGGGCCTGCAGGATGCACGGGTGCGGGATGGTGAGGATGCACGCTTCTCTGTGGAGCTGTCAGCCTCGGTGCAGGGTGAGTGGTTCCTGAATTGCACAAAGCTGCAAAGCGAGGAGAGCGGGCGCTTCAGTGTGCAGCACTGTGGGATGGAACACTCGCTGATCATCCACTCAGCAAGGCTGAGAGAGAGTGGTACACATGTCACCTTTGTGGCCAGCGGTGTGCGGGACTCGGCCAGGCTGCATGTGCAAGGTGAGCATCCCACAAGTCAAAGAACAGCAGGTGGGAAACACCTCCCACATTTCTTACCCCTCTGCGTGGGTTCCCAGCCCCACAGGCCCACATCGCCCCAGTGCCTGAGGCATGGCGGCTCCGGGAGCTGCTGGCAGGGCAGCTGCTGCTGCTGGAGTGTGAGGTGAGCCCGGCGGGTGCCCCTGTGCACT